TTGTGAAAAGTTTGATTTGATTTGGTTTAAATCAAGATTCGTTCAAATTTAAATCGAGCTTCAAGTTGAACTCAATCTTAATGAAATTCGGATTGTGAGTCCAATCAAGTTTATATTATATATAGTATTTTTTAATTTTCATATTATATAATAATAAATAATTTTTTTATATTTATAACAAGAAATAATATATGTATTAATTAATTTATATATATTATTTTTTATTATGTATAGTTTTATATCTATAATTTTGTATTTTTTTATATGAAGATTGACTCAATATTGAGCCCAAGCCCAGCCAATCTTAAATATAAGCTCTCGAGTTTTTCTACCAAGCTGGGTTGAGCCGAAAAGCCAAATATTCCCTAATCCTAGGATTAGGGGTGTCAACAGTATTTGAAAATCTAATTTTGAATTTGAGATTCAACCTAATTGAATTGGATTCGGATAATTCGAATATATAATTAGTCGAATTCAGATTTCCTATTGATACCAAATAGTTAATTGAATTTGAATTCGGATATGACTTGATTCGATTCGATAAATATTTGAATCGAATCAAATATTTGAGTATTTAATCAAATTCAAATTCAGATATTAATTTTCAAAATCCATTGAATATCGAATCGAATTTGAATATCAAATTTTCTAATCGGATTTGGATTCAGATATTGCTTGATCTAATTCGAATTCGATCCGTTTACACCCCTACTTAGGACTCGAACAATATTTAACTAATTCTTCATCAACAATGAAACAAGACAAAGGCCCAACAAATTGGCTTAGTAATTTTCATTGTTCTAAGCGATTTATTATGGTTGGTTTGTGGATAGGGAATCCAATGGTGTGAGGTAATACCTGAATTCAAAATTTGATTAGGAAATTCATGAGTCCGAACCTAAATCGGATCTAAGCGATGGCTTTACCATCATACCCTTTATAAAATAAAGAAAATAGCTCGTAATATAATTTTGTTAGAGAGAAATAAAGAGAATATAGGTAATTTTGTATATGCACATTAATGTCGTAGTCGGCTTGGATATTTATTAGATTCAATCTATTTTGTGATTCATTTAGAAACAAGAGAACAACAGAAATGGATACAACAAAAGGCAAAAGCAAGACATTCATAGACTTAAACTTGTGACAAAAGAAACAACAAACAAGGAAGAGAAGAGTTACACACAACAACTACCGCCGAAACTAAGGTTCTTTACTAACTTGATCAAACACCACATAGTCCACCAACCATCTAGGCATAGCTTCAGCGAAACAGCTCTGAGAAGACAAACCATGGATAGCTAGCTTATGTGCCACTCTATTAGCAGAGCGAGGCATCAAACAAAAATCAAAAGATCTTCCTTGAATAAGCTTTCTTAAATCCATGCATAAAAACAACATATCATGGTGACAGTTCAGATCAAAATCAAAATGACTGTCTATTAGTGATTCAAAAATCACTACTTCCAAATTTAAACTAATTGTAGTTTTCACTGCTTCAAATAAGGCTTTGGCTTCTGCAATAAAAAAAGAAGTTTGAATCTGACAAGCCTTTGCAAAAAGACATACGCCTGCAAAATCTCTAAAAACAAAACCCACTGAAACTTTCCTTGGATTTTGAAACCCACCATCCACATTTGCTTTGAAACTTTCCTTGGATTTCAAATCAGGCCATATTTAAATTTGAGATGATAAAGTAAATGACTTAATGGTATAAGTTTCATACCCGAATTCCACCAATTACCATATTTGAATAATCATAATCGATTTAATTATATAGAATCTCAAATACGAAATCACACTTTTGGATATTGTTTACACCTTGTGTAACTTTGGCTGATTGGTAAAATGCATGTTTGAAAAACATCAGATTTGACGTTTTAAATAGAAATAACAATTTCTATCGATCAACTAAAAGTGTTTTCAAAACGTTTCACATAGAAGGATGTTTCTCACACAAATTTGTATGGATTGCCCAAAACACAACAACAAAACATCACTGCACCATTCACCCCCTCAAGTTTTTTTTCGTTTATATCCACCATTTCCTTGTTTTTAATTCATTTTCTTTTATATGGGTTTTGAAATCATTGACTCATTTACCTTATTTTGGGGTTTTTCCATCCTACAACTCCTAGCCCTTAAGTAGGGATACAAACAGATAGGATCTGATTCGAATCAGGGTATATTCGAATATGATCCGACACTGTCAAGTTGGATCCAATTCGATCAGATCAGATAAGACTCAATTTGAATTTAAATCCTATCGGCAAGTCAGATCTTCGGATCTGATCTGATTCGATTTATTTTCTTTAAAAATTAATAAATTATTAAAATAAAAATAAAATATAATAAAAACAAAAAATATAAGCAATTTTTTTAATTATTTTTATCATATATATACATGTTTTTTATAAAAAAATAAAAAAATAACAAATTTATAATAATATATTTATAAATAAATAAATAACATATATATATATATTTATATTTATAAATATATAATATATATCAGATCGGATAAGGATGATCTGAATCCAAGTATCCAATCCATTCCAAAGACCCGAATAGGGTGATCCAATATATCGAATCAKAGATCGAATCGGATCATCATCCTATCCATTTACACCCCTCACCTTAAGACACTATTTTGTCCATTTTGTTCTCAGGCAGGGGATTCAGATATGGGGTTGACTGATATAAAAATTTTATCCGGTGAACCTTTGGCAGCTCAAAATGGTTGATTAAAAAAGACTATTGACCTATTCCATAAGCTCGAGTCTTAAATCTTAATACATGTGAATAATGTGCACCCATCGCCCATGGTTTTGACGACTTTTGCCCCAATATTGATCACACTCATTTGATTCGATGGATTAATACATGGTTTTCTAATTGTTGTTTACCGGATGGTTGGACCGCTTGGCTCAGAAATCATTTAGTCAACTGGTTATGTTTCACTTTTAATCCATTTTTTAGCTAAAATTCATTGATTTTGTCAGTGACCCGCTGATTCAGGTGGTCGTACCATTGATCCACAACCCAAAAATATTATTGAAAATCGACTGACCTTTTGTGAAAACCGATCCACTCAAGTCGTAACGGTTTGGGTCAATTTTTTGATTTGGTCAGTTGGTTCAAAAGATTTAAACTTAAAAATCAAATTTAATTATAAAAATTATAGTGCAATTATTAAAAAATAAATTTAAAAATTAGATTTATGATATAAAACATGGGAAACTTCCACTTTTCCATATTAAAAATTATATTTAAAATATAAAATATTAATATATATCTATGGTTAAGTCGTTCGATTTTGGTTGGTTTACAAATGGCCAAAGTGAAATTGATCCAACTTGGTCAATTTGGAAATTTTTTTAACCAAAGCGGACCTAAAATACTAGAAAACCGACCAACTCGAGTCGAGTTCATCGGGTTGGTTCGTTTTATTAGTTTGATGAATAAACCTAACTGAAGTTAATTATTGTTATTTTTGTATTATAAAAAAATTATTAAAATTATTATATAAAATATAAATAATTATTAATTATTTTAAAAGTTGAAAAATATAAAACAATTGTATACTCTTATGTGATTCTATTAGGGTCATTTACTAGCATGGTTTTTAAAACCGACCCGGAGACCGAACTGGTCAGGGGTCCAGTTATCGGGTCAAATAGTTTGACCGTTCGAACTGAACAATCGGCCCGTTCTAACAAAAAAGTAAAAAAATAAAAACATTCAAAACCATTCGAATGGTTAATCACCCGGGTTAGTAGTTTGCTGACCAAAATCAACGTTTTTTGGAGAAAATTCGATTTTAGCGAAAAACGGAACCGGTCACCTGACCAGTTCCCAGTTTTTCCAGTTCGGTCTAGTTTTGAAAACCATGTTTACTAGAACACATCTTATAGTTTTACATATTTACTTAAACCTACCTTATAATTTTCATTTTATTAAAACATTCCATATATTTTAAAACTTATTTACTTAATTAACCTTTCATTAAGGAGTGTTTGTTTTGCCATTAGGCCCATGATTTTTTAATCCAAAAATACCCTTATCACTTTTTTTGTATAGAAAACAAAATTAACCAAATATAGCCAATAGAGTGGTTGTTTGTGTCTTATAAAGCGCAAAAATAGTATTTTTATTTTTATTTTCTTTTGATTAAATTTATTTAAATAAACATTAGGGTCAATATTGTCATTTTCCACTATCATCTAATGAAGATTGATTAAATCCATTGTAAATTATAAGTGATGTTTTAGTAAAATTTTAACTATAGACTAGATTTTAGTAAATCCATAAAATTATAAGAGATATTTTAGTAAATGACAGTTTCTATTATTTAGCTTTTGCGGATCCCACTAGTATATAGTTATTTTCTATATAATTTAATAGTGGATATGATTTAAAATAGAAAGAATTGGGGATGCATATAATTGAGATAAGATAAGGCATGAATGATGACAATGATTTTATAAATTTAAATATAATCTTAGGTTCGAATTTTAAATTCTTTTAAAATAAAACTTTATTAATTTCTGCGACCAAACCCGGATGCCTGGACCGGCCCGGTCCATTATCACGTCGTCTGCATGAACCCCCATGCACGCGCACCTACACGTATCCAGAATTCCGATTTTCCGAGTGACGAAAGGAATCGAATCCAACCATCAGGCCTCACGCGTGCACACTACACAACGTCTTTGTGCGAGTGAGCAAATTACAAGATGCTTTAAGGGTGTTCTAGTCATTTCGCGAGTCGGTCAGGATTTTCTGCTAATAAAATAGCATCTTGACGTAAATCCATGCCAGATAAGGGGTAAATCCCGCCTTCGCTAACAAACAAGTTCAGGTTGGAACCGAACTCGGATCTCAATAACGTACTCGACCCACGAACGGCAGGAATTTCCAATCTCAGCCACCCAAAACTCAAAAGAAAATCTGACCGTCCGTCCCGTCCTCTCTGCCTATAAAAGGGTATCTATGGGCGATGTGATTTCCTCAGAGACCGTTCACGATTTCGTCTGCGTTCGAGGATTGGAAAGGAGCGAGCGTTCGAGAGAGAGAGGGAGAGAGAAGGAGAGAGGATTACATCATCTTCTAACGTTGGTCTCATCAGGCTCTGTTGGATTTGATCTGTATTATTGGGAACTTAATATATTTTTACAATCTTGTCCGAAGAGAATCTTTTTTTTTTAGGGTTCTTGGGGTTTCTTCGGCTGTGAATCTTCCCTTTCTGTGGGTTAAGCTTTTATAGATTGTCTTGATCTGAACGCCTTGGTTTTTAGTTGGTGTGGTAGTCTCGCGGGAAGATTGATTCAGGAGATCGTTTGTTTAAAAGGGTTTTTTGTTAGGGTTTGTTGGGATTCGATCTCTTAGGTGGAGGTTTGGTTTGGTTTGCTTGGTTGGGATTTGGGGATCCGATGAACGATCAGTCCCAGATGATGAATCAGTCTCAGATGTTGAATCGAAGCTATGGAATCTGGCCACCGCCACCACCTCCGCCTCCGCCGGAGGATTCTCTTAAGTTTCAGAACCCTTCGAGGCCGGCTTTTGTGGCAGCAAAGCCCGGGAGGAACAATTGGAAGGGAAAGAAGATTGCTGATAAGAGGAAAGAGAATCGACGAAAGGAGAAGGCAGTAGTTGGTAGTGGCGGCGCTGGAGTTGGAGGTCTAGGCGGAGGGGGAGGGTATAAACCCCCGACTCTCCATGAACTGCAATCTCAGAATCGTTTGAAGGCTCGGAGGTTCTACCCAAAGAAGAAGTTCAATCGGTTTGCACCATTTGCCCCGAGGAACACGACTTCTTTTATAATTCGAGCAAAGAAATCGGGAGGAATTGCCTCACTTGTATCCCCTTGCCCTGTGACGCCGGCGATTCTTCCAACTCCGATTTTCTCCCCGTCGAGGGAGGTTCTTGTTGACATGGCGAAGGAAGAGTGGGGGTTGGATGGTTATGGATCCATGAAGGGTTTGATCAGGCTTCGGTCGCCGGGGCACGAGGTTCGCGATGATGATGAAGAAGAGGAAGGAGGGTCGAGCGAGAGTGATGTTGAAGAGCATGTTGAGGTGGAAAGGAGATTGGATCACGATTTGAGCCGATTTGAGATGATTTACCCGAATGGAACTGACGAGAATGCCAACTTGTTGGAGAACCGAGTGGACGATCAGGACACACACATTGCACAGCTGGAGGAAGAAAACCTGACATTGAAGGAGCGGCTTTTTTTGATGGAGAGGGAGTTGGTGGACTTGAGAAGGAGATTGCAGTGCTTGGAGACGGAGAGCCGGGTGAAGGAGGAGAACAATGAGGCGTCGGAGAATGCATCGGAGAATGAAGTCGGAGGAGGGGATAATGTATCAGAGAATGAAGGGGAAGGGACAGGGGATGTCTGCTCAGAGAAGAGCGTCGGCGACGGTGACTGATTACATTGTCCCTCCCTCGTTGATGTAAGTCTCTTCTCTGTACAGATCCTTCTTGGGATTCTAGTCTCTTGATGTTGTTATCTGTGCAAATATCTCTGTATATATTGGCTTATAGGATGGTAGAAGACTAGTAGTTGTTCCCTTTTTTTTTTGCTCCTCCTCGTTAATTGTCTGATAATTTGACATTGGGCTTTTCAAGTTAGGAACTTGGGCATCAAAACCTAAGCCAAAAAAATTGACTGAAACGAAGTCTGCATCATTCCAGACATACCTTCCTTCGCACCAACTGATGGTGGCTCAGTTGGTAGGATATATCAGTAGAGACCTGGGATCAAGTCCCACTGCCACCAGGGTTGGGGGATTTAAGGGGAAGGGGGATGGGCTACCCCCCGTTGTGTAGTCCTATACCTGGCACTGGTTAAGAGATTTGATCAAGGAAAAGGAGTTCTAAGTTCTAAAATTCTTCTCATTATAGGTCCAGGGGGGGAGGGAGGGAAAATGGTTAGGTTCTGTCAGTCATGGGATTAGGTTTTTATCATCTCTCTTCTTTTAGACTGTTTAGGTAATGCTTTTTCTTCTTTATTTCAAGTAAGACGAGAGAAATTAAGAACAGAATTTTTTGTTCCAATTTAATGTTGATTGGTTTCATTTGCTACATATCATGGAAAACATAGTACATCTGGTATTTATTTTCTTTATGGATTAAATTTAGTACTTGTGAGATGAAATATATGCCTTGTTTGTTATCATATTGTATTGGATTTTTCTCCAAATTCCAATGGAGTAGATGTCTGTTATGGGTTCTGCCTTGTATGTAGCGGTAGACTTGGATTTGTTTAATATTTATATTGGCATCAAATAAAATGCTTTTATATTGTAATTGTACTGTTTGAGACTTGAGAGCTGTTTGTGTTCAACAAATGAGTATCATTTGCAGTAGTTCCTTTCCTCGAGAGGCTATCTATCTATGCTCAAAATTGCTCATGTGGCCTGTCTCAACTGTCAATGCTTTTGTATCATGTACGGCCAATCTACTGAATGGGCCATGGAGGAAGGTAGCCATTCTGAGCAAATGATCCGTGTCCAATCGCAAATTTCTGGACTGGAAGATGGGATTATTCAAGGGTGTTCTCGAGGGTCATAGCACCAATCCAGGGCTTCCCACCCATCTGTTCATCAAGGGATCTAAGTTCCAGAAATAAGAAAAGGTGTGTTGCAGCCGAGGCAGAGTCCCCTTTCATGGTGCCTGTCAAAGAGTTAGAAGAGAGCTTTGGCCTTCAAAGGATGATGAAGGAAGGATTCAGGTGAAAAAGGAACAGAATTGAGGCTAAAGATTTGGAAAGACTGGAGAGTTGTGCTCCCTCTCCAAATTCCAAAGGTGGAACCAGGGAGGAAAGCTGTGAAATCTCCTTCCAAGTCGTGCAACAGCGAGACGAGATGGTGTGGTGGAGAATGGAGATTGGCCGGCTGTTGTGGTTGTCCTAAATCCCAACACAAAAGTTAACCGATTCTCCCTAAACTACTGCTCTAGAATGCTATTGAAGGGAAGTGCAAGTGGGGCCTGGGGGTGGCTTTGCGTGTGGGACAAGAACATAGAGAAGAAAGTTGTCAATGTAACTGTTTTGTTTGAACTGTGGATGTGGTGGTCGACGCCGTCGGTGGAAGCAATGCAAATTTCTTTTCTTTTAGTTTGCTATCAAAGAGTTTCTGTTTAGTAGCTTTACCGCCACGGTGAATCAGAATGAAACTTTAAAAGTTGTTCCCACTTCCACCGGCCCCACCGATTCATTCAATAAAGAACACAAGATCAGGCAATAAAATAAAATCGTATTCCTTCTCATATGTGGTAACTCTATATTTGGAATTTGGTAACACACTAACACCTTGTCTAAATATATTACCGAGGAATAAAAAACAAACAAGTAACTAGTTCCTGCTTCCAATATCATTGAGAAATCTAAATTTAAGAATAGGAGATTAAAATGCGTTTAAGTTACCATTTGTTTCTGTACCTCTCTCGTGTTTAGGTAAGCTTTGGATCAACTTCAGCTTCAAGTGATGAACCGGGTAGCTTTTGTTCTTAATTTTGATTGGTTCTATTCGAATCTTTGGAGCTTGGGTTTTGGTTCAATTCTGCCAATCTCTACATATACAATCTGGGTAGTAGGTAGACAGTATTGTGGGAGTGTACAGGTTCAAAATATCAGTACATATCTAGTATATTATTATCATATATTACATCAGTTTCAGGGTCTACATGTAAATGTAAGGTTATGGCACGTGGTTACCTTTGAAGGTTAATATCCTTCTCATAGGAAATGTCCCGGTTCAATTCTTGGAACTTGAAAAAAATAATATGAAAATGCGAATGGATACTTTGAACCTTGATGATAAGAGCATATTTCTTGGCCTCTAGGTGTTGCTCTGTTCCTTGTTAGAACACCAGCTCTCAAGAAAATTAAAATCGAAGATCATATAACTTTGGTAATGCTTGGCATCAATGATTCCTCCTTGTTGGTGATTTTTGAAAAATCATAAAATATTGTTGTTTGTTGAAAAATCATTTATGTCAATATAAACAGTTTGTTTGGTATGAATTCTCAAGCTTGGAATCATCCTTTTATTGCATCTATATTGGATGTCATGTCATTTTCATTCTTTTTTATCCAATGTAGCTCTGACATAGCAGTGATTTTTGGAAAATCAGCATTGATGCCAAATATCACCTTTGTTTCTAAACATTTCATAGGGTAATGCTTTTAGCTTAACAGAGCAATTCCTTGTTAGGATGAAGCTACGAGGGCTTATCCCTTGACGATTGTTTTTGGGTGGCATTCTATAGAATCCACCATCCTATTTGTAATATTGTACGATTATTAAAAATTATCAAGAAAAGTGTATGCTGATATTAAAAGTTGTATGTACATGAAAGAAACGTCACCTGACTTTCATGTATCAGACTATTAAGTGTTCGTTGAGAACCAACGCCCACCTGTTTGTCATGCTCTTCCTTCAAAATTCAAAATCGATTTTCTAGCTAGGTTGACTAACATTGAAAATTGAAGCAGAGTTCGAGGGTAAATTAGTAAAAAGGAAGAAAAAAATTAGACATTCTGACTGCGGTTAAGGTTGGGTAGGACCTGTAGTTTTTTTGAAAGCTGCCTTTATCAGCAATTCTCCTTTTATTTATGGGTCAAGATATGGTTATTGCTTTTGTCAAAAATAAGATGTGTATTGTTTCCTTTTCTTTTACTTGGGGAATCGTTCAACTTAAAAGTTTAAGCCGGTAGGTGAAGCCCTGGAAGAGGTTTTTCATGCCAAAGTTTATTTGGTTTGAAGTGTGGATAAATACAAATCCACCCACTTTTTGTGCTTAAATTTATAATGGGGTAAAGAGAATCAAACACTAGACCACTCAACCAAATAGGTTATATCATTATAATATAGGAAGTGTTGAATCTAAAAGCTTAAGGCCCTGTTTGGATAGACTTTTATTTTTGTATCAAAGTACAAATTTAGTACATAAAATACTTTTGTTTTGGTATTTTTGCTTTCAAAACTGTTTGGGTAAAAAATTTTGAAAAGCTTTCTAAAATAGAAATACCATTATTTGTTTGGCCAAAGTGCATTAATTTGTGCTTCCAGTGTCCAAGTTTTTGATGGTTTCACTATCTGAGACCAGCAACAACGGTCTGACTCTAGCAACACCAAGCAAAGGTAGGGTTGAGAGTTGTATTGAAGGATGGTCACATGTGACGAGTCTGGATCTCCTGTTCACGAGAATCCCGCCCACGTTTATCGTAGCTACACATGGAGAACATCTCATCCTCTATGTAGTATTATACAGGGGGAGATGTTCCCAATTCACAGGGGTGTAGTGTATTGTCGGTAGGCGTGGTCAGAGTTCTTGTCGGCAGGAGATCCAGAGTCACATGTGACCATCCGTTCGCACAAAAACATAAGCCCTATTTTGCAAAAAGCATGAAGTATGAAAAGTTGACTTAATGCTTTTGGGGTTTTTTATACAAAAAGATGAAAGCAAAAGTATAAAATATATAATACAAATGTTGTATCGTGTTTTTCCTATTTTTGTACTTTAAAAAATACATAAGTACTTTATGAAAAATTTTATTCTCTAGCACTTTTTTTCCTTATTTTAGGTACTGTGTATATGCTTCTTTTCAAATTAAAAGAATATTTTTTTTATCAAAAAAATTAAAAAAATCTAACTTTGCATAAAAATTTACTCAAACAGGGATACAAATATAGCCTTACCAAACTTCATTTTTTCTTGCTTCTAATTCTAAGATCTAAGAGCAATTAAGTGTTTCCCAGTCTTGATATCACCCTTTGAATGAGTTGATATGATGCATCTGAGAATAACTAATAGAGCTCAGAAATGTACACCCACTTTATTGAGTCGTTCCCTTTCTTCCCCCCACCTTCCACAGATAAAAAGAGTCATGGAATCGTTATAAGCTGCATTAAAGTAATTTTGAATTTTGTGAAAAATAAAATAGAAGTTATTTATGGCCTTTGTTTGATTCATTTTTTTGTGGTGGTTATCTCTGTTGTTTCTGGTGGTGGATTGATACATGAAGCACTGGACATGGGGTTGTCTTCCATATCAGCCATATATGCATGCCTACACCTCAAGATTGTTGCGGAGATGTCACTATTCGTACCTTTTCATCATGTGATATGTAGCACTGAAAATGGTAAAATAGGATTCATACAATGGACTCCATATCGTTTCATCAAGAGATCTAGATAGGGCTGTCAACAGGTTGGGTCCGACCTCACGGTTCCAATGAACCTGAACTGATTGGGTCAGAGTCGGTTCTGGGCTCTGATATAGTGTTTCAATTCTTATCAGTTTCATCTAGTCTCGAATCAATTCAAATCCGACCTAAATTATATACATATATTAAATAAATTATATTTAATATTTAATATATATATATATATTTATTATAATCGGGTTTGTCGTGTTAAACCCGATTGCCCTGAGAACCAATCAATTCGGTTATAGGTCTAAAAATTACAGACCCTAACAGGCCTGATTCAGTTCCGAATTCTCAATATTTCATGTTGGGTTGGTTCCGATTCTAGCTGATCCTGGCCCATATGGGATTGAATATGGGATTGAACCGAACTGGATGGTTAGACTGGAAAAACYGGGAATTGGTCAGGTGATCGGTTTCATTTTTTCCCAAAATCGGGATTTCTTAAAAACCGCTGATTTTAGTCAGCAAATCGCTGACTCGGGCAATTAACTGTTCAAACCGTTTGAACAGTTTTGACCGTTCTTTATTTTTAAAAATTTTTTTTTGTCAGAACGGGCCAACTGTTTGAAGTCGAACCATTCGATCCGGCAATCAGACCCCTGATTGTTTCAGTCTCTGGGTCGGTTTTAAAAACCATGCTTTTGAGACAGTACTCGTGTTTGATATATGCGATTATAATCCATAGATAATGTTGATTGTTGGTAGCAAATCCAACTCTTTTCTAATGCTTAGTTTGAAAGGAGTACAAATACAAATATGTACTTTAGGGTGTGTTTGGAAGCGATGCAAATGGAGTGTAAATCCCGGTTCAGGATAAATTTGTACTCAGGTTCACTTTTGCATGTGTTTGGCAGGCAATATTACATTTATACATTGACAAATGACAGACTAATGCATATTTACATTGACAATAAGATGTAAAAGTACATAAATAAAAAAGAAGTAAATTTGCATTCAAGTGGGCTTTTGATAAAAAACATATGCTTTATTGAAATTCATGTTTGCATCCATTACAAGTAAAAGTCTATTTGGTAAGAAGGTAAATTTGTCAGTGCAAAACTAATCCAACTTCGCAATTTATATGAATCGTTCTACACTCTACATATTTGCATTGTTTTCAATCATAGCCGTACTAATATATACAAAATATATAAAATACAAGATTTTGCACTTTACATATTTGTATTTGTACTCCTTCCAAACTGAGCCTAAATGGTCACCTCTTATAGCAATTTTGGAGTTGTTTTTTTTTTCTCGAGTATTACGTGTTATACGTTACATGGGAATTCACGGTTGGGGGCAGAGTAGGGTGCACATGAAGTCCATTGATCTTACCATAGAGAGTTTATAGTTATGGAAGTTTGATGTCACACATCCGAGGGATTCTGAATGACCATCTCAGCTGTTAGGTCATTGGCATAGTAATTTTGATATCAGATTTTTATACAAAATACTTCAAATAATCACAAAACTCATTTGATTGAGCTGTTTTCACTGAGCTGCTTTGAAAAATATACTAAAACTAGTTTCACTGGAAAGTCAAATTATTGGTTGAATGAAAATGTATTTAGACTTTTTTGGATTTCCACCAAACATAGTTTTTAGGATTTCCATGAAGGGTTGGGTGAAAGCCCTCCCAAACAAGTATTTAGTCTCTTCTAAGCTTATTTCTTTAAGATAATATCTCATTTGTTGTATGTCTTCAAAGCTTCATTTAGGGCTGTTTATAAATAAATTCAAATCAACCAACCCGGCCCGACCCAACTTGATTTGGCCGGTTTTTCTTCACCACTGGTCGGTTTTGGGTTGGAAAGATGGGTAAACCGAACCGAGTTATCCATAAATATGTTCTCACTGAAATATTATATATAATATGCATATTTCTGATATATATATATATATATATATATATATTTAAAGTTGAAATGTATATACTTAAATCAAAACTGACCCAAACCAACCTAAATCGACCAGGTCGGTTTTACTTAAT